AGCCCTCGTGTAGCTTTGCACGAAATTCAAAACAAACGAACAGATTATGCCAGATGTGAAATCATTACGTCCATTCTAATAGAAAAGTGCACATTAACATTAGTAAAGACTATTACTTAGTTGCACTGTTCAATTAGTAAAAACAAACTAACTGATTATGCCAGATGTGAAATCATTACGTCCATTCTAATAGAAAAGTCCACATTAACATTAGTAAAGACTGTTACTTAGTTGCACTGTTCAATTAGTAAAAACAAACTAACAGATTATGCCAGATGTGAAATCATTACGTCCATTCTAATAGAAAAGTCCACATTAACATTAGTAAAGACTATTACTTAGTTGCACTGTTCAATTAGTAAAAACAAACTGGGTATAGGCTATGCTGTAGATAGATGAAACATACGTTGTTGAAAGCTATCAAACAAATGTTCACATTCAAATATCTCAAACGACGAAGCCATATTGGGAGAGATATTCGGTAAGATTTTCTTGGTCTGGGTCTACATTTGTACGACTAACCACTTGAAAGTGTGTTGATCGTTTTTCCGAAAGTTTCTCCCTGATTTAATTTGTTAAGTTTTCAGAGTGTTTCCAACATTAATTTAGTCACAATGAAGCCCTGTACAACTCAGAGGCAATATTAGATTAAGTAGCTCAATTAGCTGGTCAGGCATGCTATATAATCGCTGACGTAATCTGGCTACCAAAATGCTCAGTTTGTTTCGTTAGAAAACATTAGTCACTTACTGTCCAACGAGCTCTTACGTCATCAGGGAGTCTCTTTCTGTGCATCCCGAGATAATCAGGTTTCAGTCTTTTGAAGAACGAGTTGTCTACCTCTTTTAGTATTGGCTTTGTCGATAAACAACAATACAGTTAAAAGCCCTGTATTTTGGGTAAGGATAGACTTTATTATTACGTGTTGTGATATATATATATATATTGTCTTTATTAGACTTTTTTTCTGATAATACTATATATATAGTGCCCTGACATAATAAAATGAGCAGTCTTGCCATAGAGTTGAACTCGATTAAATCAGTCTGAAATAAAACACAAACATAAAACAAAGCAGAAACAGGCTCATCAGTAGCCAGTGGCTTCTATTTTTCCATGTTCGGAAAGATTCGTGATCAGTAGAATTACGTATATCACTGGCGTGGGAGTATTGTGGGTATTTCGGACTGTATCGCTGGTTTCAGATGTGCTTATTTATTTTCAAAAGCCAGGTCACTGTATATACATTACATATAAGTGCAGATATGTTTCTACTTTCTAACTAACATCTCTATCGACAGAGCAGTAGATAAACGGCTAAAGAGACAGAATATAAATTGACCAATGGTCACTTTACGTTTTTATAGGCGATCACGATCGTTGCCATCCCACTCGTCCATTCCGCTGTCCTGGAGATGAAACGATTTGTATTTCTATCCAGTATCTGTGTGACGGAGCCCCAGACTGTCCAGATGGCTATGACGAAGATCACCGCCTGTGTACTGCAGGTAAGTCCTCAATTGCTTCTTCCGAAGCCGTATGTTATCTAAACCCTTATTTTACAAAAGTCTATGTGTGTACACTTACAACTGGATACTCGCTATACCTATTATCACCAAACCCGGCATATACTCTTAACGTCTCGCGGGGAGTGACACAGGGAGTCAGCGTTTGGATCTGAACCCTCTATGATACCCCCAAAAATTCCTATTCTTTTATGTGCATTGAGCGAGTACGTCAGCTAGTATAAAATAATTCATCCAATACAATAAAAATATACCTGACTTATTTTATACTCGAATTGAGACATATTTGTTTCTCTTCGAAGTATTTCAATGAAGGTTAATATATCTGTATGGCCACAAGGAGTCTTCTTTTTGAAGGTCAAGATTTTTTTTTTAATGGAAGTCTTCTTCAGAAGATTAAAACATGTTTTTTTACCAGATGCCTTCTTATGAATGTTAAGATATCTCTTCTAAATAAACGCATTTTTATAAGGTTAAAACACGTTTGTTTTTACAAAACGTTTTCTTTAAAGATTAAAGATTAAGACTTCTGCATAGAAGTTAAGGCATTTTTTATATTAGTAATATTTTATTGAATTTAAAATATTTTTTGAAGTTTCTGTTTAACATTAGAGTATCTATTAAACGATTTTTATAAGTCTTAATATAAATCATAAAGATACTTCTGAAAAAAGTAGCTACACTGATATTAGCAGCCTTTAACTAAGGTATATATCAATAGCAAAGCACAGCTTTATTAAGTTACGAGCTTTCGCTTTACAAAAGTGTAAACTATCAGGCTAAAAACCATAGCATGGTGTGTAAGTAGGCTAAGATGGGCAACATGGTTGTGGGTAATACACTAACCAGGAAAACAATAAACAATTCTCACTAAGCCTAAGTCAATCACCTGTGTTTCTAACAGCCAGTTTTAGTCATGGTCCTTTAATTAAGGGGATGATTTAGTGATTCAAAAACTGAAACTGAAACTGAACAGCTCCAACGTGTGTGTAGAGTCAAACAATGGCATTTTTTCAACACACACATAGATATATCTTCCGAAACTTAGTCTTTTAGTACTAGTCACAAATAGAAAAACAACAACATATGCATAGTAATAGAAGTAATATATCAGAACTCTAAGTTAATAGATGAAACGCACGTTATTCCGTGCACGCTAGCGCTAACCAAGTCACGAAAGTTTTCACTTCAAAGGAAAGAGAACCTTAGGCATACCACACAAACACACGCCCATGAACGTACAGTTAAGCATGTGGAATATTGATTTTGCTACCTGGCTTGTTTTATATTCGACTTGCATACGGCACGTTGAACAATTTGTGCCAACGATTATGACGTGTTTATTTTACTAATAATGAACAATGTGTCGAATCCAGCGCACTTGATGACCAATAGTCTCTTTCTGTATAGTTTCTACTTGCTGCTAGTTTTGGTAAAATTAAAGCATCGTCTCTTTTCGTACAACGAAAGAGAGCGCTCTAATTACCCTATGTGGAACTAATAAGTAAGCAGTTATACGAATAATGAGAAATAACGGAGTTAATTAATACATCGCTTTTTAAAACGTATACAAACCTTCCACAGTTAACGCGAACTTCACGAGTACAGGATGACTGCTATGTTAATAATGATGTAGAGAAATATCTGTAGAATAAAGTCCCAAGAGTTACAGAAAAGTTCTTCAACATGTCCTACTCTATTCGACTGTTTTGTTATCCATAACAATTAGACGGTTTATCTTCTTTGTTATCGTGTTATTTACTCCAAACTAGTATGTGTATGACAATATTAAAAAATGACACAAAACAACTTTAGCTTTATATCTATAGTAAACGTAGTGAAACATGTTTAATTAATGCTATCTAATGTAACATTTTTATTTACAGAAGATCTGGTCTATATTGAATTTGATTGAAAACGTACAATTGAACTGTGAACTTTTAAAGATTATTGTTGCCAAAACGTATGTATTAGATACGTCACAACAAAAACAAATGCAATTTTGTAAAACGTTTGCTACAACTACGCGTTCCCTTCAAGACATACATTTACATATAACAGACAACTAAGAACAATACTTCCAGCATACCTTACATACTTTCAAGGTGTTTGTACATAGAAACTTCACATAATTTCTTTGGTTGAAAAATGACTTCTCAAATCACGAAACGTGTTTCTTTCACCCGTTTTGTTCGAACGTACTTGGAATTAGAATTTTCAGTCGCAACTGCTGCTACTTAGGCTAAAGACACAAGTCAGACACCTCTCTCGTTCATGTAAAGCCATACCTAATTTTCAAATATTGATCAGAGGGAAGGTAGGCAGCTAGCAGTACCCATCACCATAACAGGACTGACTCTCACTTTATTATCGCTCCCTTAGCTGAAATGCGGAAAGTGTACAGCGACATCTCACTCCGAACCTAGGATCGTTCGAACCACACTAACCACTAGGCCTTGCCCGGCCTATGCACTTGGAATATATAAATTATATTTTTCTATTGCAAAATATGTAGGGTGAAGTTTGTTTCCTTATATACGTATGTATGTATAAATTGGACAAAGCCAGGTTATTTAGTTATCAAAAGACACAAATTTCTTAATATTGGAAATTGTACTTATTCAAATATCTTAAAAGGACACTAACGCTTTTGAAATCTTAGACCTCGTGCCAGCTGGCTAAATACTGAGAAAAATGATTTGGTTATTTCCTAAACATTGTTTTTTTTAAAAACCACAGTTTGTTGCATGATGTATATTTATACTTGAAGCTGACTTTATGTTGCACACTAAGCTACTCTAACTAAAGTTTTTACACGTTTAAAGTATGAAATTAATAATACATTCAACAGTAAAAGAACCGTAGTCTTATCTACACGGTTTGTATCTCTAAGTGCTGTTTTCTCCTGAATTACCGACTTGTTTGTATACCGTTTACTATCGATAGGGTCCATAAATTGAGCAGTTTTATGTGTTTGTTTGTTACAACACTCATTGTAAAGAACTGACCAAAATGTTGGCGAAACGATTCATTTTATACGTAATAAATATATATGTATGCGACCTCGGTAGTAATTTGTGGTATCAACTGAAATATTAATGATATTTTTGTATATTATTTATGTGTAACACATGTGTTGTAGGCTTAAGATAATATGGTACATAAATAGTATGAGTCCATATAGTAACTTTGGGACTAACCCTATCATCCGTCTTTACTAAAACCAGGCTCGTGTTACTGACTGGTTTCCCTCCTTTTGGTTAGATGTTCTTTGTCTGGACGTTTGGAGTCTCTGACTTCGCTGTGTCCCACAAGGTGGCGTTCAGGATGAAAGTACATAATAATATATCTTACTAATCAAACAACGCGAACAAATATTTATAAGCTTACACTTCTTTTTCCTTGATAATTACTATTTACTGATACATTAACTTATCAGTTACGATCAGCCACGGTGAAAACGTGATTTTAGTATCATGGCGAGGCCCAACATGGTATTATACGCATTTTCTCGCAAGGATTTAAAATACTTGGCTTCAAGTCTTACGACTGGTTGTATTCGACTCTTCCCATCATCCCCATTGAAACTGGCAGAAAATATGACACAAACGTCCTGTGTCTTGCACTGTAGCAAGGTTTTTGTTATCTTGATTTAAAACTGGTAAAAGGGGGATAATAACTTCACTATGGATATTTGAACCAATCTACACGATTATCGTTTAACATACAAACGAAATATTTTGCGAATATAAATAAGGAAACATGCAGTGGGGCATCCACGGATTCTTGTGAATGGCGCTACAGAGCGCTGTACGCAGTCATGTACAAATTAAGCTGGTACATGAGCATGATGTGGAATGTAGCTAGCATTTGAAAACGCAATATGTTACTATGTTTGTAATAAAGATTCCTTTTCGCGGAGCTGTACCATCAACCTGATTACGACTCTCCGGCTATGCCCCAATAGGACTTACACTAGATATAGGCCTTGCACAGCCATTACCACTGCTCTTTAGACTGCTTGGTTTGTTTGCTTGTTTGTAGATAAGCACAAAGTTACACAGTGAGCTATCTGTGCTCTGTCCACCACGGGTATTGAAACCCGGTTTCTAGCGTTGTAAATCCGCAGACATACCGCTGTGCCACTGGGGGCAGAATGCTCGGAAATACATTAAGTATAACTACTTGTCCAAGCTTAGAATGCTAAGTTGACCCTACTGTGGAGATGCAGCGCACTAATGAAATCTTTTCTGATGATTCAGCCATGGTTCTGCACACTACTAAAACCTTTTTTGCAGGATTCAGCCACCGTGCAGCACAATACGGAAAATATTTCTGCAAGATTTAGCCATGTTACCGAACACTACTAAATCTTTTGCTGCGGGATTCAACTGTGGTGCTGCACATTCGTGAAATATTTGCTGCAGAATTCAACCATGGTGAAACACACTAATCTAACCTTTGCTGCAGGATCCAACAATGGTGAAACACATTATTTAATCCTTTGTTGCGGGATTCTACCGTGGTGCTGTACACAACTGAAAATTTGTTGCAGGATCAAACCATGGCAGTTTAGCCCACCTGTCCCAAGAGGTGGCGCGCAGGATGAAAATACCAAGCAAAAATGTGTTCATAAGGTTATGTTCATGCAGGAGAGTGCCCTGCATATTTCTTATCCACTGCCCTATAAATATGTTGCTCATGTAGATTTTCAGTGAGGATCACATCCTCAACAATCTCGTCCATCATCCCCGGTCACTACGCTCTCCTGACCTTCCCCTTCTCACTATTAGTTATATGCTTTTATAAAGACACAAATATTACTCATCTGGAGGATGCTATTATAACAGCAGCTGTGGAAGATTCTTGGGAAGATGTTACCTAGTGTAATAGTCATTGCCACAATCATAATGGACGCAGTAATAAAAAATGATAAGTTGTTACAGTGGCGCCCCTAGTGCTGTTTCAAGAAGTCCGTGAGA